TTCCTATTGTTATTTATCCAATAAACATACTAACATCTTTGCGACCTTCTAACATGTGCATATTTGAAATAGGAATAGGAGCCATATCAGTAGCCAACAAGGGGGCTGGACAGCACAAGAAGCATGATTTGATTATAAACTTTTAAAGAGACTGAGATTTGTGATGTGGAATTTCGTTCATAGGATCGTTGAAGCAATGCACAAGACTAAAGCGACCCTCTGTTCATTTACTTACGTTGTTTTGATGGCTTCATAGCCTGCATTCCAATAACAACTAGATCAATTGTTACTGGCCCTAGGCCCCATATTCATGGATTTGGTTTATCAGTCTAACATTAGTGCACGAAGTTAGTATTGTGAAAGCAATCATTGGATACTGAATATCCATTGTTGTACATATATTTTTTTAAGCTCATTGGTCTCTATGACTTGTTCCAATCTGTTATCCTCCCATCTTGCCCTCGTTACAATGTTTAGTCTGTTGAACTTGCTGAAAGCTCAAAATTTGTGAGCTTTATTTCATTAATCAAAAAGGTTTTCCCTGTGCATATTTGTGATGGTTACGTATTAAAGGCCATACTGCTCTACTAAAGACCATACTCTCACTCAAGCTACAGGTCTCCATATCTTTTTTCATTACTTCCATCTATCTCCTTTTGGGCATTTGCTTTGCTCATTTAAAGCCTTCCACTTGAGCCGAATCACACCTCCTAACCGGTGTTGTATTAGCTTATATATGGCCAGCCCATCGAAGTCTACTTTACTTTATCTTTTCGCCTATTGAAACCACCCCTTAAGTTCTCTTGATTGTATTTGTTTACAACAATGTAAAAAACCCTGCCAATTGTCTTCAATGCAGATTGGTCTTGAGAATAAAAGCAATTTCGTCAAACGCTGTCTAAAAGGCCAAATGAAATACCAAAAAACATGCACATACCAGAAACTATGCACAAGAATTTCTAAAAGCTCTGAATAAACACTTTATCATATCCAACATACCATTATACATTACATTGTTCCTCATACAGAAGGGGACTAAAGGCAATCGCACTCGTGCATGGGATTAGAGTGTCTAGAAAACTGAATTCACTACTGAGCATTACATTGTTTCTCATTTAACATTGGTGGTACTTTGCACTTTTACACTTGCATCAGCATAACTGGTGCCCTTAGTCCGTGCACAAGTGTGATTGGTGTTGGCCCATGACATTCCTTTAGCCTGTGCATGCATGCGGTTGCAACGTTCGCGTTTCAGACACATTTTGGCTGAAACTAACTTGTATCGACCTTGGTTAAGGATAGCACAATCACCAGCTGCGGTTATGGGCAGTGGCCTTGGTTATGGGCTTGCTGCTGCTATGGTGGTTCTTGGATACCATTAACTGTGTGACAGAACTATTCTCATGGTCAAGAGCATGTTAATTAGCACTAAGAAGTTAAGAAATGAACCAGTGTGAATGTAGGCAACCTAAATTTGTGAACAAATGTTAATTTTAACAGGGAAAAGACATGATTCTTCTATGAACAATCAGATTAAACAGTATGTCGCAACAAATCAGATTAACCAGTTATGTTGCAACAATTAAAAGGGCCTTTAGACTCTCTATCTAAAAGGAATCAAAATTCTCATTCAAATTCACTGCATTTCCAGAATGTTCACAAAAAAATAAGCATTTTGGTTTATTGATGTCCAAGTGAATTTGAACGAGACAAATAAATTAGATTGTCTGTTTCATTGTTTTCTGAGAATAAGTTTACCTGTAATTCGTAATGCACGCTGAGATCAATCTCAATAGAACATGTGAACCTCATTAGGTGTGTCTCAAAACAGAAAAATCACACTTTATTACTTTTTAATATAACAATTTCAACTTAATTGATTTCCAAACATTATGGGTGTGTTAATATTACTTCCACTGCACCTTATACACCAACTGGCAGCCAGTGTCTTTCTTCCCATGGCTAATGGTTTTCTCTTGGGAAGTATATGGTATTCACCTCACATTTAAAAAAAAGATTGTATACAATGAGACCATTAACCTTTGATACATGGAAGTTACAATTACTTACAACCATCCGATGTGAAATCCGACAGCTTTGGTGTTTCATAAAGTTCAAAAAAAATTCTTTTGAACTTTTAGCTTGGCCAATGAAATAAATGCAGCCACCCAATTTCTCATTGAATGGTCAAATTTAATTGTGACCACCTTGTACCAAAGGTAAATGATCTCATTATATGCTTTTTTTAAAAAAAAGTTCGAACAATATGCTTTTGAGATATATAAAGAAAGTTATTTAGAAAATATAAAATATTCTTTTGTTTGACATTTCTTTGCACACTAATTATATCAGCAAAGGAGCAAAGCAAATACAGTCTTGAGATAGTGTCATTGCATGACTGAAAACAAGAAATATTTTTCTTCATTTCATTCATTCACCATTGTCTTTACTCTCTTTCTTTTTACTTGCTTTTAATCTCTTTTTTATTTGTTTATAATAATAATAATGATAACGATAATGATAATAATACTAATAATAATAATAATAATAATAATAATAATAATAATAGTAATAATAACAATAATAATAATAAATGTCCATGAGTTGAAGTAGATGAGAAATAATAAAACGTTCATTTGCTGGAATAGATTAGAAATAATAAATTGTTCATTTATCCAAAAGTTAGGTGTATATTGATCAATTTCTCCAAACAAAATGGTTGTTGCATTTTGGAAGTTAAGGGGACTAGTAGATTTAGTGATTATTAGATTTCAAAATTTATTAGACAATTAACTATTAGCAACTCTCAAATACAACAGTAGGAGTGACCAAAGTTGATTGCTCATCTCTCAACACTAGCTTCTTAACATGCAAACCATTTGGTGGTCCACTGCAGACGCAACATAAAGGGGAGCCCTCTTAACATAATTGTACGCCACAAAGACTTGTTATTTGAACTCTGTCATAACTTAAAACACAAATTGATTTCTGTTCAGTAGAAGATGATACCAGTTTGTGACAGCAACTCTAAACCATGCCTCAAAACCAGAGACTCAGTTCTTTTTTTTCGTTTGTTACAACTGTCGTATAACCATTTATCGACTCTTGATCTGATCCACCCAGGCTATCACGAACTCTAGATTCAACATTTTCTTTAAAGTAAGGATTCAAACGTTAGATGTTGGTGTGCGCGTGTGCGCGTGTATGTGTTATCAATTCTTCTAAGCGATGAACCTTCAATTCCAACAACACTTATACTATTGTGGCCTAAGATATTTATTTTTGGAGTCTGTACTTCATCCCTTTTTTAGTTCATTTGTCTGAGCTTCTATTTTCAAGAATCAGCTTCGAAAAGATATTAAAACACCACCGGTAAGAGAAGAGAAATCAGTGGCATCATAGCCTTGACGCACTATCCTGTCATCTGTATAATTGAGGAAAATTGTTTCATACGGGCTGGACCGCATTTCTACAGTGTACAGTCCTAAGGAATGAAACATCCAACTTAAAAATGGATGTAAATAAGTGGTCTATCTAAACACAATTGAAACTAACAGTCCAAATGTTTTTTTAATAGAATTATTATCTCTAATTTTGAAAAAATATTTATTTTTTTATATTCATGATCTCCATATTAGAGATTACATGTCCTTAAAAATTAAGTCCAATAATCCCCCTTAAAAATAGATTTTTAAGATGTGACTCATTTCTACATGGACTCGTTAGAAACTGTGTCCTATGATTAATTATCAGTTTATGAAAAGTGAATATCAGTGTAATTTATGATGCTGTCAAATTGGTCGGAGAATAATTTTATTGTCATTGGGCAAGAATTCCACCTATCAGTCCATCATTTTCCCACTGCCACCTATTTTCCCACTTCCACCTTTCTAGAAGAAAAAGTTTACGGGAGGCCTTAGGCTTTACAATAAAAAGTAAAGCCGCGCCTCAAAACCCAATCATAAAATGCATTTTGGTGCCCGTAAACTATCATATTGATTTTCTCAACATTGATGATTATCTATCGAAAATGGAAACAGAGAATGGGTTCCAAGCAAGCTGCAAAGATGGTTAAGAGGGATATTGATGTCTAAAGTTTCATTATCATCAGGTCCCAAGTTAGCATTCAAAAAGAAAAAAAGATTTTTAGATAAAAAGGATTTTAAGTCCTAAAAATAACATGTCTAAGTGTTGATAGATCCATAAGATTTGCATCATTTTAACGCGTCAAATTTCATAATGAAAGGCAAGAATGGACATTGAAAAAAAAAACACGGGGTGGGGCAGGAATAGATTTACAAAGTTTTCAGTCCTAAAACTGCATCTTCCTAATGGTCACTTTTTAACACAAATTATAGCCCTTATGCTAAACCCACTATATCTAAAAACTTCCAATTCCAACTTTACGAGGTTTAGGATTTCCATGTCATTTCTTCTCCAAGCTCCACAGACAATGGCGTTCTTCTTATTGTAGTTTATAATGGGATATGCACACTATTACAACTAATACGCATGATTAAGGTTTCTAATGAGCAATTACACTAGGTGAAGGCAATGGTGCAAAATTTAGTTGGAATCTACCTACGGGAAATACAGTATGCTTAGGAGAAGATTAAGGTTTCTAATGACTTTTCTCAAGTTTTAAAGACAAAAGGTGTTCGTTAGTTTTAACTTGTAACACATATCCAGGTCGGATGTGCCACTTATCCATAAGTAATCCCACTGTCTTCCTTGTCAATTAGTGAAAACTAAAAGGTACTGTTTGGTCCACTCAAGCTATTCAAGAGTAAAGTCCCTTCCTATCTCCCTGTTTATTTGAAGGCCAAAAAAAAAAAACTCCCTCACTCATTGAGAAAACGGTTTTACCCTTACTCATCAGTAACCCATTCACCAAGCTAAGGATTTCATCAGTAACCCATCCTCAATAACAATGAGAAAAAGCCAACGTCACCCAGACTTCTCAAACGAAAATACTCAATGCTGCAAAACTCACAGTGAAATGGCAAAACTTTGCAGGAATAATCAACACATTCACCTTATACAGCAAACAAAAAAGACAGTTTTTTTCAATCAAATCTACATCTTTCAAGAAACGTGGCACAAAACATAACCATTTTGTTTTTACATAATTTTGCATACAAATTTCATATAAGCCAAATTAACATGTCTAGAAAAAGTGATACATATGATGTGTTCCACTTCATCCCCTGCATCATTGATAAGCACCAAACAGAGGTCCCCAGCGGTAGAGAACTGAGTACTAACTTCCTGCTTGGCTAGGCAAGCGTTCCAATGTCAGGCATTAATTGATTCACAGGACCATTTAACTTACCCTGATACAAAAAGGACGAAATATCAAGGAACATTAAGCAGTAGCATCACCGACAGGAAAAATTACAAATGAATACATGACTGAGCCAATGCTTGAAGTACCTGAAACAATATGTATGGCCCAGATTGAATGTCGACAAAACTCATCACGTATAATCACTCACTTCTTGCTACCTGCATTCAAGGACCCATCCTTCATTAATCTGATGCTAAGACTGTTAAACCTCCCTCTTGAGTAGTGGCGAGATGCCTTTCTCCAATCAGTGCCAGTCTTCATCATGGCCAAAAACTCCTCATAGCTAATGCGCCCGTCCTGTGTACCATTGAAAATAACCATTTCATTTTATTTGGTATCAGTCTCCATCATGGCCACACACACACACACACACACATAGAGAAACATTTTAATGTATGATCACCTTGTCAGTATCTACTTCTAGGAAGATATCATTTGCAACATCAACGGAATCAGTAATACCATCTTCAACTAGGGCTTCTCTTAGCTCCTCGGGCTCAATAAATCCATTACCATCTTTATCAAAGTAAGAGAATGCCTTGCGAAGATGCTCGTCATTGGCCATCCTCTGAAGATGAAGGGACACTGCAATGAATTCTCCGTAATCCAGTGTTCCATTCCCATCAGCATCAACCTGTTCACTCTCATCAAGTTATCATCTATCCAGGAAGTAGGAAGCATTGTTCAAATCGTTCCTACAGTCAAAATTTAGATAACACACATTTGTGTGAAAGGAAAATAATTCCAATTTTCAACGAGCTGCTATCCTTCCCAGCTTTTAAATGATCGGGACCTTTACTGGGTAGATGGAATTATAGAATTACAAGTTAACAGAAGCCTAAAAATACAAGAAACAAGAGACAAATCTGTTAATTTTCCTTCAGCCAATTAATCAATGCTACATTCATCCAGGTAAGCAAAAACAAAGGACTTCAGGAAGCGAGGGAATAGCTTGATGCCCATATCTTGTTGCTCTAAAACGAATGAAGAAAGCCACCATTTGCTGCAAGATTTACAGCCCCAATGGGGTAAATGAATCACTAAAAAGCCAGCCAAGTACCAATGAGATACAGTCAGTGTGTGTGTGCCTCTGGTTGTGTGTTGAACTGTTGTAACAAGTACCAAGAATTGTTCAGAACTTGAGTTTAATGTTTATTTTTGTTCTTTGTTAATATTTGTCAAAACCATTCTAATTGTACATGTGATTACCAGGAATTACATAAACTTCTCGTTCTTCTTTTGATTTTTCAAATGGTACCAGAGACAGGCAAACCATGCCCCTGGCCTAAGGTCTACTATTGGTGTTTGTAATGTCAGTTTTTATGTGCAAGTTTCATTGCTCATGGATTGAAGGTTCCACATGCAACATCCAAGGAAAGTGGTGATCATGCGGGAGTTCGATGATTGATCTCGCACATAGGATCCTCCTTTATTCCATGTTTTACAGTAGGGACAGTCCTTATTGTAAGAAATCCATTCTTTGCAAAAAAAAATCATCTTAAGAATGCAGCTCTTTCGAAAAAACCTGCCCGCTTCCTCTTTCCAAGACATATTAGAAAACTCAAAAACACACTAAGAAAAAATAGCGGTTTAGGGGCAATAAGTAGAATAAAGTTGATTGGTTCGAATGTATCATATAACCATCATAACCTGGGCTTAATGCTTTAGTTATGCCCTAATAACTAGAGGGTTCATCTGCAACATTCCTCAGCAATTCAAATGCACTATTGGGTTTAGACCATGAAATGCAGCAGCACATCAGAATTTTGATAACCAGGAATTGACAACGGATAGAGCTGAAAGCAAAGTCCCAGCCGCAAGATTCCTGATGGATGCTCAGGGCACCTCCCAACACAAGGACCAAAGGTAGAAGGAGAAGAGTAGGGAACTGGCAGGGTATGCTTCTCTCTCACAGGATCACATGCCTCTCTTTTCTCTTTCTTGTTTCTCATTCCATAGATCTGGTTTGCCCTAGGGCAGACAGCCACAATGTCGGCCCTGTCATTTTTGAGGGCGCGAGTCATTTCTTTGGGCCCAAATTTTGTAGCCACATTCTCTTGGATGTGACAAACACAATCATGAAAAAAAGTTCAAAAAACGCAGCCCAGAGATCTTTTTCTCGAGGAGAGATAATGCAGTAAATATGGCTATCCATCATAGAGATACATCAGCTCAAGGGTATGGGCACAGGTATCCCGCATCCAGTAAACGGGCCTACACATGACTGCCATGTGGATCACATAGTCCACTACATGCAGTTGTGCACCTAAATAGGTATATGGGGACTCTATGGGTTGCATGCTCCATAGGCCCAGACCCCAATAGATGACAGAGAGATTATCTTACGGGTTACATACTCCACAGGCGCAGACCCCAATTGATGAAAGAGAGATTATCTTGGAGGACAATTTAGATAGAATGGTCAGAAATCCCTAGTTGCTATTCTTCTTGGATTTGGTAAGATTAGGATTAGAAATCTCCTAATCCTAATCCAAATCCAAATGAAGATAAGGAAATCATCATGAACCATCCAAATAGGATAGAAGGGATTCCTACATGTATACAAGGGGTGTGGGGTCTTTCTATAGAATAAGATACAAGACGGACAAAAACATGCCCATGAAATCGTCGAGTGAGAAATCACATGATACCCAAAAGAGAGCATTCCTGAGAGAGGGACAGAGAAACATGCCCCATCTGTGCCTCTCTCTTCTCCCACTTTAGTCCTTGTTTTGGTTCATGTGCAACACTAGAAAGAGCCCTCACGCGTCCAACGGCTTGGCTCTTACAATGTGGACTTTGCATTCAGCTTAGTAGTTGAATAGTTTCCTTCAAGTTTGTGCTCATTCCTCGTCACCCTCCGATGTGTTTGTGAATAGGAGACAAACCCTAGCAGAGAGGTATGTACTTTAGTTATCGCTTATCGAGATTTTTATCATATATTCCATTGCCTTATCTGGGTTGAAAGGCAACACAAATGGAATCTACACATATTCAATTCACATAGAATGTATTGTAATCTATGATTAGCAACATCCTCAGTGAATAACTAAATATATCTTTATGTAAGTCTTTTATCTGGCACAAGGTGCCTGATGGCTTTGGCAGCCACCATTTCTCATGCGAATGATGAGTAGATGACCAACTTCAATATGCTCAACGTCTTCCAGAAACTGAGTTAAGACAATAATAGTTCTTCTTTGGATAGTTAATAATCAAGAGACCGATTTACATGCCTGTACTAAACTGGGTCGATAGAATGTCCTAAAATCCAAAAAAAACATCACTTCTATAGATGATTTCATGTTTAATGTTCATGAAAAAAGTGAATGGGATTCCAATATGTTTGAGCAAGACCCTTAGCGACACCATTTCACAAGTAGAGGCCAAGATCTTGACACTTTTCTTCCAGCTTTTCACGTGGCCAGGTAAGGTTCCACCTTGCTTTCTCTGATACTTTATTTGTGTAGAAGTGGTGTCTTGCATGAATTGGGTGACAAAACGTGCAACTCGAGTGCTGGGTATACTAAGATAAATTAGTCGGGAAGTTTCCCAACTAAACCATAGAACATAACAATCTCTCATAAACGGGACCAACATGTCATTTTATTAAAACTTGGCACCAAGGGGTGAACAACAAGCTTAGACACTAAAAATACCCATCTCAAGCAAGTCCATGGCATATTTCCTCGAGAATATAATCATTCCTTCAAGGAGAGTCCGAACAGAGCGAGTAGGCTTATTTTTCTCAACCATAATTCCTAAACCCAATGTTCAAAAATTCGGCTGCCCGATCGCCTAGGCGAAAAGAATTTCAATACGCCTAGCCGCAATCTGGGCAGGTGCATTAGGAGTTTTGCTTCTGAACACCCGCCTAGGCGATCTGGACGCCGCCCAAGCGCTATTGTCTGAACGCTCGCCTAGGCGCCGCCCCATGACAACTTGCAGGCGGCAGAAAAAACCCTCGGGTGAGGGTAAAATATGTAATTTTTCCCACTAAAAATGGGGGAAAAAGGTTTTAAGGGGTATTCTAAACCCCTAACAGAAAATCCATGGACTTTAGGATGAGAAAAACCCCTCAAAAACCACTATTTTGGGATTTATCGAAAGATCGACAAATTTTTTATTTTTTTGATTTCTTCCTAAAACGAAGGCAATAGTTCGTGGGTGGATTTGGAGCTTCTAATAGTTGATTTTAAGAAATTTTGGCGACCCAATAGACGAGGTTTGAACCGACATCGATTTGATTTTGATATTTTTAAAGCATTATCATATTTGAAAGAGGGTTTTGATTTTAATTTGCTATAACATATTATGTTATGAATCATGTGTTTTTTCTTTTATTTTATTTTTTTACGGCATATTTACATGTTTGTAGTTAAAAGATTATTTTTTGGTGATTTATTGATTTTTTTCTCACTTGGACGATGAAATTGAGTATATATTATATTCTTTTATGAATAATTGATTCTTTTTATGTACAATGTGTCTTATTTTAATATTCTATTTTTTTTGTTTTAGTTTATTTGATAAATAATTGATTATGTGATATCTTAAGGGTTAAGTCTTATGTGAAAGTGAAACTAAAGTCTTAAAATATCTTATATATTTAGTTATTCATTTAAGTCTTATGGTAAAGTAATAGTTAGTGTCTTAGTGACTTAATTCTTTAATCTTATGTATTTTACAGGTTTGTTGATTAGGTGATTGATTCTAAATCACATTGATTGATACTCGATCAATTATTATTCATTGAAGAAAAAGGCTTCTAATGCATCAAGTAGGCCAACTGATCCAAGTTGGAAGTATGTAACTTGTCCAAATCCTCTTGACAAGAATAGGATCGAGTGCAAGTTTTGCAAAAAACGTTATCATGCCGGCATCAACAGATTCAAGAAGCATTTAGCCAGCATTAAAGGGGATGTGGCGTCATGCACTCTAATGTTTGCTTTCTTACCTCACCCGGATCCTGAGGTACTACCACGAGAAAGGGGTCAAACAAGCCTAGAGACCCATATGAAGAAGGATCTGAGAGAAAGGGTCATCCAATATCTGAGGATGTCGATGTTCCAAGCGGGCATTTCTTTTAATGCCGCTAACTTGAGTAGCTTTCAGGCTATGTTGGAAGTAGTGGGCCAGGGTTGAGGGCTCCAACTACTTTTAAGCTTAAAGGGCCAGTACTCGAGAAAGAAGTGGAGCTAACGAACAACTACTTAAAGACCCACACTGATGCGTGGAGTGTATATGGTTGCATAGTAATGACCGATGGCTGGAGTGATAAGAGGCGCAGAAGCATCATGAATTTGATGTTGAATTGTCCTTTAGGGACAATGTTCAAGAGGGCTATTGATGCTTCAGACAAGTCCCATGATGCACAGTTCATTTTTAATTTGGTGGACCAGTATATAGAGGAGATAGGGGGAGGATAAGGTGGTCCAAGTTGTGACCGATATGTATTCTACTAATATGGCGGCCACTAAATTATTGCTGGATAAGAGGTTGCGTATTTTCTTGACCCCTTGTACAGCACATTACATAAACCTCATGTTTGAGGCCATTAGTAAGAAGAAGACGTTCAGGACAACCATCGAAAAGGCACAGAAAGTCAGTTTATTTGTATAGTCACACTCAGGT